GAATACATAAATATATTTATATTTCGATTACATAAAACCGGACTAACGCACGAATTGTCTCAATTTCAATTACAATCATTCTCCTTTCCCCCTATTCCTGTATCTGGCTCGAATCGAGTTGCCAAATTTCCACGGAGATCCCGGGGCCGGAAGTTGGGTGATTCGGTATTCGCGGAAGGAATGCTGGAAAATACAAGCTCGATACCGCCGCGACATCCTAATTCGTGCACGAAGGTTGTTCGCGAACTTAGTTTTACGCTCGTAGCCAATGCAATCACCGTTTCGAAGAAACACCGGTAGATATCCCAGGGAAAATGTACAAGCGTGGGATAAGGTAGGTCGTGCACGATTTCCTATACGGGATATGACCTTATTCCCCTTATCTGTTCGCCACGCTCATATCAAAGATATTTTTATATGCGCATGTGAAACGGTATTCCGGGGTGGTGCACGCGAGACGAGACGGTTGTCTTACGAGATCATCTTATTGTTCGCCGAATTTCGCTCCCGGCCCTCCCATTGGACCACCCGCACGGTTCTACGGGAAATCTGATCGAACGTACGATAACAGGAAGGAAGTTTTATACGTTGGAGATAGACCTGACATTGGGATTAAACGTGGAATTTTTGATGAAATCGCAGTGCATATTATTTTAAATACGACAAAATATCTTGATTAGCGAGAGATTGGTGAGAGATTAAGGGAAGAATGATCGTAAGAAGGATGCAGGTATAGAGCTAGAGTTGTATTTTATGGATCGAGTCTGTGATATGAAAATCGACGAGCTATTATTAATATGAGAAAGCAATCAATTGAAATTGTTAAGTATCGTTAATTAATTCTCGTGATATTTTAAAATCGATGGAAACTACGTTCCTTCTATTCCTTCTTTTTATTTATCGTTTAATTTTGTTTGCAGTAAAATCGGATTTTTATATTCAAACACAAACTGGATTTAAACGCGATGCAATCTTGGGGGACGAAGTCCCGATTACAGGATGCTCCGTGTATCGTAACATCGAATTCATAAATTCTGATTTGCGCATTCAAAATGCGATAAACGTTAACTCCACGATGATATATGCGGGTTAAGCTCGAGCATTCTAAATTTCTCGCAAATCTGGTGTCCCGATCCATTGCGGGGGACGCAGTTCCCCCCCCCCCCCATCCATCCATCATTCGAGCTGTTGCTCTTTCCCGTGACGAACGCTCTCTTCGACGCGTTTTTCATTAATTGAAGTAATCTGACAGGTACACGCTTCAAGTCGATAAACAACGATATAAACTCAACGTGAAAAGTTCCTCAGAAACTCAGAATATTCGTCCTCTTCGATTAATCGAAGGAATAATCTTCATTTTTATTCGATTCTACTTTACCCTTTCGCCGATATTCCTTTATACACATCCCCATCCTTTTTACCATTTGTCTATTTAGCATCGTCCTTTGCCGCTTTTTAAAACACGTCTGCGTCATAAACCGGAGCCGATGAACCAACCTCTCGTCTCAAAGAGACTTTACGTCACCGATATCCTCGACATCGATAAAAAACACGGGTCAAACGATCACCGATAAAAAAAAATCATCGTAAAACATGATAGAAGAGGTTCGTCTTTCTCACGGGGGGGCAGGGCACCTGCCGATCGATCCATAAGATCCCGAACATTTGCAAAACGATCGAGGATAAATCGGGGGCGAGAAGGGTGAGAGAGAAGCTTGCGACGGTTGAGCAGATTTTACGCGTGACACGAAGGACTTGCGGAGGTCGTGGTGGGAGCGGAATAAAATAAGAGGTGCAAGTTGCGCATCAGGGGCGTACCGACCCCATGGGTACCACGGTTATAAAACCCGTCCCATATTTTTCGACCATGTTTCGTGTCGCCACGTTTTACGAATGCACGCCGCGACCCTCGTCGACTTCCGCTCGGACCGGGGATTTAATCGCGACGACACGAGGAAACAACGTTGTAAAGTTTACGCCACCAGAGACACGGTCTGTTATGATTTTCTCTGGATGAAACGTTGAATTAGAAGAGATGAACTGCTGGGTAAGAGATATTTTTAATTTTTCTCTCTCTCTCTCTCTCTCGTCTACTTTTTTCTCTTTTAACTTTCTCTTCGTAGATTTTACTCGTCATTTTCTTCGTCCGTTTTTTCTTTTTCGTTTTTTTTTTTTTTTTTTTTTTTTACTTATTAATGTTCTTTTTTATTCCGATTAACGTGTGTCTTTTAAGTTCTTATTTTAACGAAAGAGAGAAAGGGTTAGAAAGTTTTAATTCATTTTTCGGGACGAATCGAAAATTGGTGAAACGGCTACCGATTAAAGATAGTGAAATTTTCTCTATGGAAGAGAGAGAATTATTGAATCGACTTACATGTGCTTGACGGGAATGTACCCTCTTTGTTTTTACGATATACAACTCCGTTCATTCTTCTTCTTTCTTTCTCTGCAATTGCTTCGCACGAGTGTATTTAATTAACGCGCGACTCTTCTAATCGTAATTAATGATACGAAGATAATACTGGTGAAAAACCTGGTTGTTTGTCGCGTAAAAACCGAGAATTACTTCCATTTACGAGGATTCTAATTTTACTAATGTGATTATCTTACAATGTAGAATAGATGTTACTAACATTGTCAAAGTCAATTCCCTTACAAATTTAACTCTCTTACATCACGCGACTTTACACCCAGATTATAAAAGCATCCATACAGTAATCAAAATGTGATATTCATTTTTCATTTTTCATTTCAACCATGATATTCATCTTCGTGTCAATTTTTATATAAAAATAAATTTTTTATATAGCTAAATGATTTCTAATATATCACTTGTTAAAATTTGTATTCAATATATTTTTAACATATTTAAAATAGATAATTTTTTAAACTGGGGAAACGTGGGAGTGTTTCACATTTTTTTTGATGTCCGATCAAGATATACAATCACCTCACGTCCTCGCTTAAAGAGAAAATTTGCACATTCGTGGTTGTGGTACGAGAGAGGCGATATCAAAATGTATAATTTATGAAATATACTTGGTATTCTTAACATTAATATAAATATTAATAAAAATAAAATCGTATTAATCTTTTAACAAGAACTTGGCGGAAAGAGATTGAACGTCATGATCTCTTCAACTCTAAATTTAATCCTTATACAAAAAGGGATGACTTTCGTTCTTTCCTTTATTCAAAAATTATCTTATCATTTCACTGTACGAGGAAATTTGCCAACGAAATTTCAAAAATCGGTAAGATACAAGACTATATATAGAGAAAAATAGATCTCGTTTAAAAATATCCTTAACGAAATACACTAACAAACGAGGGGAAAAATAGAAACTCGAAGCAACAACGAATATATCATTATTTTTCAATATTTGGAATCTGAGGGAAACCCTCCGGTGAAATATCGAATGGAAGAGAGGATCTATCCAAGCTCAAGTTCGACCGACATTCAAACCTCGTCCAAGACGGAAATATGAAGAAGCGTTACACGTGTATCGACTGCGGCTGCACCGTGGCAGTTTCGTGCCTCGCTTTACCGCGAGACCGAAACTAGGCTACAGTCGCTTCACCACCCCGAAGCTCTCAAGGAAAGTGGAAATTCCTCGAGGAGGCGAACTGTTCGCAAAAAGACGATGGTTACCGCGAAACATCGCGAGCGTGTCGCGATCAGCCGAGTAAAAACGACGTCTCGCGTCTCTTTGGAAGAACAGTAATTACTCGTACAAACTCTCGAAACTGTGTTCGTCTACACTTACGCGGAAGAAGGGGAGAAAAAGTTGGAAGGAGTTTGCCAACGATTAATGCGATCACTCGTCAAAGAAATGGAATTTAAATTGTTTAGGAGGAGGAAAAAGAATTTGAGAACTGAAGTATTTGTCAATTGTAAATAAAATCATACAATCGTATATTTTTACTAAAAGATAGATAGAATTATACGATGAAATTATTAAAGCTGTCGATATGTATGCGAAAATGTTGTTATTTTTTAAGTGTCACGAAGAGGACTTAGTTGCAAAGGTATAATATCTATAGATAAAAATTTCATTCTGTTAAATATCTAATACGTGATACAAATTAATACTCGTTATTTTAGAAAAAAGAAAAAGAGAATTTTGAAGATGGATTTGGGTTAGTCCCATTCTCGCAGAAAAGATGAAAATAATTGAACAGTGGTTGGATGACCGAACAAAGAGAAGCGAAATGAAATATACACGAAAATTTAAGGTAAAATTATGCGAAGCGAATAAGGTTTGAAAAGGAGGACGAAGGTTGGCAAAGGTGAACGTCCACACTAAGAGAGGAACTCGCCCACAAATAACACGACTCGGTTTCCCTGCCGTTTCGCGACTGCGTCTCGGAAAAAAAAAAAAAGAAAAAAGGAAGAGAGGAGAGTGCGTCTTCTAACATCATCTTGAGATTAGGGCCGAGCAAGATGCCGGAAGTCTCCGTTGACGAACTGTTGGTTAAACAGAGCACGAAAGTCCAACGAGGAAATGGAGGGCGAGATCTCGCCAGGCGTAAAAGACTTTACACCGATGTGCACCGTGTTTCGTCCACCAGGGGAGGTGGAAGAGAAAGAAGAAGAAGAAAAACGTGGGCGAGAGAGAGAGAGAGAGAGAAGAATATAGAAGGAATAATAAAATGTTAGCAAAGAGAGTGAGGGGAGAAAGAAAGAGTTGGCGATGTTCAGCATAGGTGTAACGGTTTCTGCGACCTATTTCCGGTTGGCTGGCATGAATAAAGGTGTTTATTTTTCCTGTAGCACGAGCAACGCCCTCCTCCTTTATTCTCTTGCAAATCCACAAGCACGAGGATAGAATCGGGTGAAATATATGAATATCGGAACACCGTGTACTGTTAAATAGCAGTAGTCTACGTTCTCGAACAAAATTGATATTTAAATTTGTTAAGATTCGAACGATAAGGGAGAGAAATTGGAAACTCGAAGGGGGAGTCGAGAATGGAGGGAATAGTTATAATCGAGTTACCTGATCTCCCGAGTCCGCGTCGAGGTTAGTTTCCGAGACCTCCGAAACATCCTCGATGACGGAGTCACCGATCGTACTGTTGTCGCTAACCACGAGGCCCAACAGGCATATCTGAAACAGAATGGTCGTCGATGTGTTAGTAAAAAATTTCTAAAAATTGGATCCTCTTAAAAAAAAAGTTTATTCCTTGTTCAAACGAATGATTCATTATTCAACGTCGAATTAATCATATTTCAATTGTTGTTATTTTAATTATTATTAAATCCTTATTTAAACTTTGATTGGTTTTCTGTAATATCATAGCGAAACGTATCGCTGTTTATTTTGATTGCGAAAGAATCGAGGATCGATCGTGTAATAAGAAAAAAAAAAAAAAAAAGAAAAAAAGAAGTAACGCTTGGTTTCCCTCGTCATGAGAGTTTCGTGTCGTTGTGTCGTCGAAATAAACGGACGCGTTAGGTGAATGAGGGTGGCGCAATTTAATTGTAGCCGTACTTCCGTCCAAAAACGGATACCCACTTTCTAGTATTACCGTGCAAGGCGGAACTTTTATAACGAGTCCGAGGCCCTGTTTCATCGCGCTCTGAATTTCGTGTCGCTGATTTTTTCCCCGGAAAACTCTGGACGATCCATATTTCCTGAGGGGTCGTCAAAGTGCGTTGTGTGATGCACTTTTATCGAACCATAATTTTATGTTCCATTTAGTTCTTTAGCCTGTTTTTTCTTCAAATGAATATATTTTAAATAAATGTAATTAGTAAATAAATAATAGTCACTATTTTCTAATCTGAACAAATCGTTTCTCGAAAGCGTGTTAGATATATTTCTCGCATTGCATATGTGTAAATTTATTAAGTTACGTTATATCTTCATTTCTCTTGAAAACTGTTAACACGCACCACCATGTTTTGTTTGTTTCAACTTGATTAAATTTCTTCGCAATAAAAAATTCATTTTAAAATTGTCAGAGATTTTAATGTTTAATAATAATGTGAAAGTATGTTTGCAGAACATATAACAACAGAAATGTCACGCGAAACTAAGTCTAACGCTTGACGCGCGTTATTAGCGATAAATTCAGACACCTAGACCGCCCTGTAATTAAAGGTTAACGATAGGCGCCTCGAGCCTTTAGAAAATGAACTCGTACGGTTTGAAATTAGTAAAACGGGGCAAAGATACTCTTGGCTCATTGATTTTACGATCACGATGTTTACCGACTTGTTATTAGTCGATTACGATTAGATTTCTAATAATTTTTAGGATACTCGTTCTCCAATCTTGGGTTCGTTAAAATTTCGAAAAGAAAATCTGTTCATCGATTGTTCGTATTAATAAATCATTCGTGAGATAATATTTTTCCTTCCCAAATTTTCTTCCAAGGAAACGTTCATTTCAAATATTTCATATAATAGTAAAGGATAGAATTATACTTGGATCCCTTATACTTGGTCAAATTTCGGCCATTATTAATTAGAGTACAATGACGTCATTTGAGGTTGAGTAAAGTTAGGCGTTTATTCGCAATCGTACAAGCGATCATTAATGAGATTGAACGAGGAAGTTTCAAAATATTCGGAGACTATAATTCTCCGTGGAAATTGATCAAGTCGTAATACTTGGTAGGGGCTTCCTATTGAAACTGGGAAGTCATTATTCATCGTACGATCATTATGATTAGCCAATCGACCACCTAGGGCGTTCGCCGGTGAACGCGTAGAGCTCGTCTCCGAAATAAAAAAAGAGGAAAGAAAAAGCAGAAAATTATAGTGATCAAGAACCGACGATCGATTAACTGATCACCGTTATTATCTTGCTAGTAATACGCGCGCCTAACTATTGATATCGTTTAATCGTGACAAACATGCTCGCTATCGACTTTAAAGCGGTAATTCATAAGAAATTTTATTTCATCCTCGTGAAAATTAAACGTGATGTATTGCTACCTGGATTGGCCTAATTTGAATCAAATTAGTTTAATTTGTAAATTATACGCTGCTACTTTAATAATTGGAAAATTAGCAGTCTAGCAGTCTAGTAATTAAGAATTAAAATCATTAGAGAGATTACACGAGTATATACACGAGTTACAAGTTACCACTAATAAATTCTAAATAACAAAAAATTATATATAAAAGTTACAAAGTGAAAAAGCTTAAAACCGTCGATGAAATCAATAACTATCCACGACTTCTCTCTTATCGTTTAATCATTAATATTAATAACTACTACAAATTATTCAATAGAAGAACAAATATCTAAATTACAGAAAAACGCGAAACAATATTGGGAATAAAATAAAATATTCGCTCAACGATCGGACGGTAAAATAATTTCGGTAACTAGAATATAGATAAATAGATATAAAAACACACAGTTTAGACTAAACGGGGGAGGTATCGATACAAAAGCGTAACGTATGCGTGTCACGTGCACGCCCGTCCACCGGACAATAATATCGATGAATAACCGAGATTGAAATACGCGCTCGCTCGAGGGATGCGCCGTCGATATGGATTTCGATCGCACGTATAACATATACGTAACATATACATATAATATTGATAGCTCGAAACGAAGATAGTTAAATTTATGCCCGACACGGTCCCACTAACGAGACGTTCGCGCTCGATACCGTTTAATTCTTATCTTATCCCCGTTGATTGGCTCGCGTGCCGTGGCTGGATTAACGCCGTCGGTCTACATTAATACCGGTAATTAACTTAGTCTCCCGCCTCGACACGACCTGAATCGGTGCCACGAAGGTTCGACACCGACTTTCCAAACTTCCTTCGTGGCCGCGATCAAAAACGCGCCCCCGGTAATTGAATCGATCGCGGCTCGATTAATGACCCGTCACTCCTGTTATCGACTTCCCTTAACAGATATGCCCGGTTAAAGAAACTCTCTTTACTTCTTGCTCCAGGCTTTTTAACGATGGCGTGTCCAAGTGGGTTATTTTATTGGTTTAGCCAATTATTCGAGAACGACCCCTTTTATCGAGACGTTGTTTTCAAGGGTCTATAATTACATAAATCTTTTCCTTTTTTTTTTTTCTTTTTTAATGCAAGTAAAATTTCGACTTTATCCAACGATTGACAAAGCGAACTCAAAAGCAAAGTGATAAATTTGAGCTTGTTTGAAGGATGAAAAATATTTTAGCCTCGTGAAATATCGTTGTGATCTCCGTTTAGAGATGAGGCGTGCTTCGAATATTTGTATCGAGATGTAAAGAGTATCGAGATGAGCGTCATCGATTGAAATTTCGTTCTCCGGACGATGACGCGTCTTTTTCGAGAGTTGTGCGTTTTCGTTGATGATGCCTAAAACGTGGCTCGTCTTCCATACATGCAAATTTCTTCTTCCAAGAACGAGACTTTTCAAGCCTTGTTTGTCTCGCTTCGTGTCAGGAACATCGTAGCGTGACAAAATGTCTTCGACGAGGAAACTCTTCATCCACGATAACTTTGCACACAAATATGTCTTCATTTTTTTTTAATAGTGACTTCCTATCTTCCAGGATCCAAACTCTTTACATGGATAAAACAATTTTTTACTTTTTTTCCACTACGTTCAAGAGATGAAATTGATTAATTAAGAGATCCTTATGGGATTAACAAAAAGAAACTATCGGATAAATTTAAAAAAATAATCTTTCATTAGTTCGTATATAAAAAAATATCGAAAAAGGAAGTACATCGATCTCCAGTTTTACGATATTTGAATATTTTCTGAATATTTTCCTTTACTATATTCTGTTAATAAAATTCTCTATTCTCCTTTACTTTAACAATCTCGAGAGAATCAAATTCTCGCTGATGAGAGGAGTTTCAAAGAAATATCATCTGATCGATCTCAACATGATCAGAAAGAAAAATAGGTAGTATTCAGAATGTGGAACACGGATCATCGGTGATCCTGAACGTTTCGCGTATAAAATCATTTTTCAGTCTATGCCCGAGGAGTATACGAGGCAGCGATTTATCTCGTCAATCAAAGGGCCGCTTTATCGTTGGAGAAAAATTGATATTCGATTACGTGGCCCCCTATCCGAGAAGCTTCGTTGCCATTTTCGAAACGAGCCTCCACCACCCGCCGATGAAGAACACGGGACGCTACTTTGCGCTCCCGTGTGAATAAGATTCATTTTCGTGCCGCGAGAAATTAATATCGGAGGAGTGGAAGGATACCTTGGCCTCGCTAAAAGGCGGTCCATGTAGATAGATTAGATTCTTCTCGAAGATCGGTCTAATCTTATTCGAGGGATACCTTTGAACAATGCGTTCCACTCGATCTACACGTTGTATCGCTTAAGATTACTTTCTTTTATTTATGATCACGAATCGAAGATAATCGTAAAATGATCCTGCAAAATGTTTTTTAATCTTTTTCGAACCTCAAGTCTCTATTGGCGTTGGATGTATAATACTTATAGCTCTTTTTGCGATAAAATAAAAATTTATCCAATTTTTTTAGAAAAGATAATTTCAAGGGAAAAGGGATCGAAGCAAGTTCCTTCCAAATTTTACAATTGCACAGCTTATGAAGATTTCTTGCGAATCTTGCTACACCCAGTATTGCTCGCAGAATGATATCAATTTTGAAGGTAGCAATATATCGTGCTTGTCACTTCTCACGCGGCGATGATATTCGAACGGGATAAGACCGGTTGCGCAACTCTGGAGATTTATGATCCAGTTTTCGCCCGACGCATTTGCATTATTGCATAATACAAAATTCTTACAACACTTCTTCTTTCTTTTCGATATTAACCACGAATCGTTAAAAAAATATCAAAGAAAAAATTCCTTCCAGCAAAAATTCCTTTTCGAATTATTATTCACACTTTTAAAACAAAAACGAACTAATTACCAATCCCGATTCGATTCGATGCACTCTTCTCTCAGCACTTGTCTCAATTATCGATTTACGATTATCCTCGTAAATCCGTGCGGTGTACAAAAGCGAACAAGCTCGGTTATCATTCGATCGTGGTGAACCAGACACTACTCCCTCACTCCTCTTTTCTCACTCGTACGAACAAGTTGCTCGCGACCATCAACGCTTTACTCCCTCCTCCATGAATCAAACACGGGTGTTCGAACGCTAAT